TCCGGCAAAAAAGAAGGGACGCACACAAGTCGTCCCTGCAGATGTGCGGGTGCGTGCGCGGGGAGAAACTGACGCGAATTCTTCCGCGCGGGTTTTTTTTTCAACGCGCGGCGTCACTCGACTGCTGCCGCTGCTGGCGGGGCGAGGGGGACGCCGTCGCCCAGGCGGCCCCGGCGCGGTTTGTCGTCAGCAGGGCAGCGTCAAACTCCGCGCGGGCAACGTCCTTCGCCCACCCCCTCGCCCTGTCGAACTCGCGGCGAACAAACGCGACGGGGATCACGAGGCGGAGGCTGCGGTCCTCGGCGTTGAGGTGCAGCAGCCCCATCCCCAGCAGCGTCCGCAGCACATCCGCCTCCTCCAGCCGCACCAGTCGCGCGATGCCGCGCACGCTCGTGGCCCGCAGCGTCTCCGTCTGCATCCCCCGCCCCTCGCCGTCCCCCTCCGCCCCGCCGTTTTGCTCCGAGCTGCCGGCGCGCGACCGCTTGAGCCCGCGGCCCGCCGGGGCCGTCGTCGCCTCCACCGTCACACTTTGCTCGCTGTCGCCGCCGTCGTCCTCGTCGTCGTCGTCCTCGTCGTCGTCGTCGTCGTCGTCGTCTGCGATAACGACAGCCGCGTCGTCCGGCAGGAGCGAGTGCATCCACGCCACGAGGACGCGGCGCCAGTAGCGGTCGTACGCCGAGGCGCCCAAATCCGACAGCGGCCTCTCCGGGGAGCCGACGTGTTTCCTGCGGTACGCAAGCTCGTAGCTGGCGGCGATCATAAACTGCCCAAAATGGCCCAACGGCGCTCGCCTGGCGGTGCCACCGTGCGCCGGGGACGGGGCCGCGCCGCCGGCAAAGCACGGCAGGGTGACAATGCAGGCCAAGTTGTTATCCGCCACCTGCTTCTCCCAGGTGAAGTAGCCAACAAAGTACATGGCCGCGGCCTCGTCGGTGTACTGGGGAAAGTGTCGCTGGTGCAGACAGACAACGTAGAAGTAGTAGTTGTGCACGTCGTGCCCGGCCAGCTTGTTCTCCAGGAACGACTTGCCTAGGAGAAAGAGGTGGCGGCAATACGTCACCTGGCGACTGCCGTTCACCTCAAACATGGAAAACCCGCGTGCCTCATCGCGGTAAATCTCCAGCCCCGGTGGTCGCAAGCGTCCAGCGCGGTAGTTCCGTGTCTCGTGCTGCATCTGCTCAAAGGTGCTGTAGATGCGGAGGGAAAATGGGCACAAGTAGGCATCTCGGACAAAGGGGTTGTGCTCCTTGAAGTCCGCCGGCAATCTCAGCCGCGCTCGCTCCGAGTCGGTAAGCGAGTTGGATGCCAACGGATCAAACTCGCTGTTGAAAATGCCGTACGGCGCATAGTACCAGGGAGCAAAGGCAAAAGTGCACAAATACACAAAGTAGCGAATGGTCGTCGGGGTGCGGCAGTCGCGCAGCAAACGTTCCTCAAAGAAATCCAGCTGCTTCTCCCCCCGGCGGGTTCGAATCATCCCCACTGTAATCTCCCGATACACCGAACTCAGGACCGGGCCACGAATGCGGTTGGCTCCAGATGGCGGCGGGGACACGGTGCCCACTGCCGCGCCACCGCCGCCGCCCTTCGACTCCTTCAGCTCAATGTCGTCCACGGGGAACCACCCGCTCAGGCGGTGGTTCACATCCTTCAGGCGCACAAAGCCGTACAGCGGCGGCGTGGCGTGTCGGTCGGCGTTGAGAAGCGCCGGCGTCCACAAGTAGCGAACCTCCAGCAACTGCCCCCGCCGCACCGCCGCGTCCGGCCCGCGCACGCCACACGGCAATCCAAGCAGCGACTGCTGCCCCCCGTCCTCCTCAGACTTGGCGGTGTTGTCCTGCGCCATTTCCCCGCCCACGCGCTGCCCCACCGCCGCTCTCCTGCCGCAATTGCCGTCGCTGTGGTTACACGTTCTGCTGTTGCCGTAGTCGGGCAACTGACATCGAATGACAGCCCGCCCGCACGCACCTCCGCTGCCGTCGCCACCGCACCCCGCACCCAACACGCAGCCAGACCAGAAATGGAAGAAGAGAAGCGAGGAGAAAAACAGTAACTATAACAATAACCTGCAGATGCCAGCAGCTTGCAGAAGAGCAGCAGAAGGCCCAGGTTGGGTGCGTGCATCCACTCACCTTTGCCGCCCGACACAGCCACCCAAGCGTTTCCTAACGGTGGCCCGGCCGCGAGTGCGCAGGGGAGCCGCGTATGTCAGCAGCGATGCTGCACACAGCTGGACGGAAAAGGAAGAAAAAGAAAACAACAAAATATGCACAGAAAAACTTGGGTGGCGTCAATGCCTTTTACTGATGAACAACACAAGAAGTGAAATAGAAAAAAAAAAGGGAGACACACGCACGCACTTCGCGCATGCGCGGGGAATAAGAGAAAAAATACGCTAAAGGGGTTGAGAATTGCCTGACAAACGCACCGCCAGACGCTCCTCAATCTTCCGCTGCAACTGCGAACTTGTCAACACTTTCGCCGCCACCTCTGCCGTGAGGTGCGGATTGACGCCCCGACTGCCGGGTTGCCGCGGCAACGGCGAGTGCAGCGACTGCGTGTCGGACCTCACAAGAAAAGCGAGGTCCTCCTCATCAAAAAGCCCCGATTGAAGTTGCGGGTGGTGCTGAGCTGGGCGACTGTGCACAACTTGTACAGACTGTCGCTGCGGGGCGCTGCCCAACGGGTAGGCGCTGAACCCGCGCTGGGGCAGCTCGGTCCCCATGCCCGAGAGAAGCTGATGAACGGGAGGGCGTGGTTCCTGCGGCAAGAACACGTTCGGCGTCCACGCCGCCGCGGGGGGCTCATTCTGCATGCTTTGCAGTCTTTCCCCCAGTCGCCACTCTTGCTGCAACCGGCGGCCTCGGCGCTCCGCCGACGACGGCGGTAGCGGCGGAGGAGTGAACACTGACACAACCTCCCCGGAACCCTGCCGTGCGTGCGAAGAAGTAGTGCCGTCGTATCGCGAGGAACGGGCGTCCTTCCTGGACGCCACCACGGCGGTGACTTTGGCACCATCGAGTAGAGCCGCATGCTGCGCATGTGTTTTCCGCACCCGTGACAAATATGTTTCCATCTCCTCCAGCAGCTTGCACCGCCGCGACTCCATTCGGTCAAAACACTGCGACTTCCTCTGCGCACGCAGCAGTAGCATTCGTTGCTCGACAACTTCGCAGGCCAACATGTTTGACGTCAAGTTTTCCATCTCGTCATGCAAGGCGGACTTCAGCTCCTTCTCCTGCCTTGCAAGTTCCTCAATATAATCCACCACTTGCGGGTCCACTGGCTTTCCTGGGGCAACACGAGACAGCATGGCATCCAGCAGGGCCTCCTCATACTCCCATGAAGGGAGTTCCTCATGCCCGCGCAGCCGCGGCGGTGGCGATAAAGTCTGATCTCCCTCAGTGGGGGAGTTTGCTTTCCGGGCGGGCGGCTCCATGTCACGAATACGGGGGGGATTAAAATCGAGTCCGGGACGCCGCTCCAGCTGGACCGCCGGGGGAAGCTGAAGGCAGGAGAAGGAGCCAGCGGGGGTGGGCAAAACAGAGGGCACTTCCGCGGCCTCCCTTGGAGGTCGGGGTACGTCTTTGCCCTCCTCATCCGCCTGCGCAACGTGGGAGCTGCGGAAAGGGAGCGGAACTGCCTCCGTAGGCAGGGCACTGGGGAGTGGCATCTCCTCCTTCTTCTTTTCGGGAAGTACGCATGGGGTGTGTTGAACGTCTGCCTGTGCCTCCTTGACTGCGGCTGCCTCCACCGTTTCCTCTGCCCTGAGGCTTGGCGGGGCCGCCGCCGACGTTGCAATGGGAAAGGGGGCGGCGACTGTCGCGCCGTCGTCCGAAGGTTGCTTCCCATCAGCTGGCTGCCTCACCTCCCCGGGGGCCCCTGATGGCTTGCTCAAGGCATCCGTGGGCGGGTCCCCACCCGGCCTAGTTCTACTCTCCTCAGTGACCTGAGACGCCTGCCTTGACGCCACCTGTGGCCCTTCTTCAGAGACCGCTTGCGTCTGCAAGGTTGTCTGCTGGGGGTTGGCCGCCCTACAGGCGTCCGCCGCCGCAGTCGCGCTGATAGCTGCTGTAGGCGCCTCCATTGAAGCGGGATCCCTCGGCTGCGGCTCTGGTAACGCCGCCGCTGATGCCGGCGACGGCGATGGCGCCGCCAGTGCGACCGGTGAGGCGGCAGCCGCGTTGGCAGGGCGCACTTCCTCAAATGTCTTGGCGCGTGCACTGACGCCGCCCCGGCCCTTCGCCACTTTGGTCGCCCGTGCCCACTTGTACATTTCCAGGTAAACGACTTGGTTCGCCGGGTAGAGGGAGCGAAAGACGTCACAGAGCTGGTCAATGCTGATGCGGCCCTCGTCATCGGGCGGGGCGTGCTCCTTGTAGAGGTTCGGGACGCCCAGGTGCACCGCACGCATCATGGGATCCAGCGTGGAACGTAGGGCCTTGACGTCTGTGCGATCCTCACCGTTGAAAATGCCTTTCCTGAGGGCTCCCCGAATGTAATTCCACACCAGCTCGTCGTAGGGAATCTTGGAGGCCTTCTGCAGCTCATACATGAGGGCAAGGAAGGCGTTGGAGCTTAGCGGGCATTGGGCCCGATACGGCTCGATAAGGGCCCGATGCTCGGCGGCGGCAATGATCTCCATCACGCCCATCAGCTCCTCCTCCGCAATGGGCTTGCCGTCATGGAAGGACTCGTGGATGTCGCGAATATGCTGGCGGTACTTGAAAGGCACGGACATTCGGCCCTGGGTCGCCCACGGCGTATGATTCCCTCGTGGCGAGAGCGCCGTCAAGGAGGCTTTTCCGCCGTCGCAGTGCAAAGCGGTGGGTGGCTGCGATACAGACCGCCGCGTGCAGCTTAGGTGTCCGTAACTTGTGCAGCTTAGTCGTCGGTGCCTGCGGTGCGGCGTCGGTTCCTTTCCGACGTCGTTTGCGCCCCCGAGGAAGAAAAACATAAAAAAAAAGCGAACAGGAAGAAGAACGGCAGCCAGACAAAAGACACGCTCGGTGCAGTGGGCCCCACGGCGGGTACAACATGGGTATCTGTGGCAGAAGCCAGGTGGCGGAGGAAACGCAAACAGCAGCAGAAAGAAGAACAAAAACAACAAAAAAAAAGAAGGAAATGACAGGTGGAAAACAATAACCGGGAACAAACCACAACGAAGGCATATTTTACTCACAACCTCGTGTCACGAACCTTTTGCTACGGGAGAGAAACATGCGTGGTGATTCATAAACACCGTCCCACAGTTTGCCGTGCCATCGCCTGTGTTGCTTCCTTACACAAAACAAACGGTGCCAATTCGTATTTCTCTTTTGTTTGGAGTTTCCTAATTTATTTAATATATATATATATACATACACATGCAGATACATATATATATATATATCGTAT